CTTCCTCTTTCTCTTCTTTTCTTCCTCTTCCCCTCCCCTTCCTCCTCCTCTTCGTCTTCCTCCCCCTTCCCTTCTTCCTGTTCTTCCCCTTCCTCCTCCTCTTCCTCCCCTTCTTCCTCTTTCTCTTCTTTTCTTCCTCTTCCCCTCCCCTTCCTCCTCCTCTTCGTCTTCCTCCCCCTTCCCTTCTTCCTGTTCTTCCCCTTCCTCCTCCTCTTCCTCCCCTTCTTCCTCTTTCTCTTCTTTTCTTCCTCTTCCCCTCCCCTTCCTCCTCTTCCTCTTCCTCCCCCTCCCCTTCTTCCTCTTCTTCCTCTTCCCCCCCTTCCTCTTCTTCTTCCTCCCCCTCCACTTCTTCCTGTTCTTTCTCCCCTTCCCCTTCTTCCTCTTCCCCCCCTCTTCCACCCCTCCTCTTGCTCCTCTTCTTCTTCCCCTTCTTCCTCCTCCCCCTCTCCTTCTTCTTTTCCTCTTCCTCCCTCTCCTCCTCCCTATTCCCTTCTTCTTCTCTTCCTCTTTTTTCCTCCCGCAGCTGGACCAGATCTGCGTCTCCTTCGACGGCGGGAAGACCACCATGAACTTCATCGAAGCAGCGCTGCTCATCCAGGGGTCCGCCTGCATCTACAGCAAGAAGGTGGGTGGGGGAGGGGCCTGGAGGGAGCTCTGGGGGGGTGGGCAGGTGGGGGGGAAGTGTGCCGGGGAGGGTCAGGGTAAGGGCCCCATTGGGGAAGTGGGCAATGGCCAGGTAAGGGGTTAAACGGAGGATTGCCCCGTGGAGGTGGGGGAAGGGTGGCTAAGTGAGAGGGAGGGGCTCCTGGGGAGGATGGCCAGGTGTGGGGTGGAAGGGGAAGGCCCATGGGGAGGGCAGGACAGAGGATGGACCCATGGGGGGGGCCTGGTAAGGGGAGAAGAGGATGGCCCCATAGGGGGAGAGAGGGGGGGCTAAAGTGGAGGTGTGTGTACCTGGGGAAGATGGCCAGGTTGGGGAAATGGTGTGGCGGGGTTAGTGGAGGGCCCCATGGTGGCGGGGATGGTGATAAAATGGGGAAATAGGCACCGTTTGGGTGATTGGTCGCCAGGAGCAGGTGGCGAAAATTCTTGACCTCCATCAGACTCTGTAGATTCTGACATAAGCTTTCATTTACAGAATAGATTTGTTTTAGAAAAAACTCCCAGGGGGATTATTCTCCATTTCATCCTCTGATCTATTGCATTTGTTTTCTCAGGTGGAGTATCTTTACACACTGGTGTACCAAGCCCTCGATTTTATCTCCAATAAGAAGTGAGTAAGCCCCTCCCTTAAGAAGAGAGGAAGGGAAATAAAGAGGGGAAATAAAGGAAGGGGTGGGGAAAAAGAGAGGGATGGAGGAAGGGAAGAAAGTGAAGGAGGGAGGAAGGAAGGGAAAAGAAAAAAAGGAAAGAAGGAAGGAAGGAAAGAAAAAGGGAGGCAGGCAGGAGGGGATCGGGAAAAAGAGGAAGGAAGGAAGGAAGGAAACGGGAAGGGAGGGAGGGAAGAAAGCGAGGGAGGTGGGAGGGAAGGAAGGGAAGAGAAAAAAGGAAGGAAGGAAGGAAAGGAAAAGGCAGGGGGGGATAGGGAAAAGGAAGGAAGGAAAAGGGAAGGAAGGGAGGTGGGGAGGAAGGAAGGGAAAGGAAGAAGGAAGGAAAAAGGGAGGCAGGCAGGTGGGGATAGGAAAAAAAGGGAGGGAGGAAGGAAAAGGGAAGGAGGGAGGGAAGAAAGCAAGGGAGGTGGGAGGGAAGGAAGGGAAGAGAACAAAATGAAAAAAGGAAGAAAAAGGGAGGCAGGCAGGAGGGGATAGGAAAAAAAGGGAGGAAAGAAAAGGGAAGGAAGGAAGGGAAGAAAGTGAGGGAAGTGGGAAAGAAGGAAGGAAGGAAAAAGGCAGGCAGGAAGGGATAGAAAAAAGAGGGAAGGAAAAGAAGGGGAAGGGGAACAATCCCTTCCAGTAATGTGTTTGCTTAACAACCACTGCATTCACTTAACGACAGTTGCAAAAGTCATAAAATCAGGTCAGTTGCCCTAACGGCGAGGCTCTATTACGGTTACAATTCGAGCACCGCCTGCATTTTCTGGAATAAACTCGTTTCCCTTCTGTGTGTCTCTGTTGTAACTCCTCTTACAACTTAGGCGGGAAAAACAGCCCACGTCCGTCGGTGCGGATGGGACCGACGGGGATGTCAGCGCCGGGCCAGGACCAGCAACGGAAGAAGAAGAGGTGAGCTCCGGGGTGTTGGATCCAACAGCCGCACCAAATCGTGGCCGTAAGACACTTACTAGCCACAGGCCACCAGGTGGATCCAAACGCTCCGTTCGGAGTTTTCCTGCGCCACGGGAACTCTCGCTTCCTCCCGTTGTGCCGAAGCGGTTGCCAGGGTGGGTTGGATTGAAATCGGGGGTCTCCAACCTTGGCAGCTTCAACTGCCAGGATTCCCCAGCCAGCCAAGGTTGGAGACCCCTGATTTCAACCCCTAGTAAATTGATTTAAATCAATTTAAATCCTGATTTTTAAGGAGCAACTGTCATCGCTCTCTTCTGACCCGCTGTTGACTCACCGACCATCCCACTCACTTTAATGGTGGTGTGGCGGGGACACCACAAGGTGAGGGATGTGGCGGGCAGCAGGTGAGTGGATGCCCGCTAGCGGGCTCAGCCATGATGGATCTGAAGTGACAGGCGCTCTGCACAGATGCATTTCTCTTCCAAACAACCGTACACTTCGTAGCGTACATAGATTTGCAAGAGAGCGGAGTAAAGAACTATTCCTGTACTTTGTTTTATGATTTATCGTCTCACGGTTGCTGTGAAATTGTGTGAATGCGTCAATGCAGGGCACGTTATCTCAGTTTGCAGAGCTTGGGTTCACTGAAACGAACTTACTAAAAATGTAAATATTGCAGAATGTACGCAGCCTTGTGCTACATAATTAAGCGCCATTCCATGCTGAATAAACTAAATTTATTAATGTACCTTAAATAGAAAACTATCTTTAGAGGTATCTTTTTTTTACTCCAAAAGCATTTTATTAAAATAAATTTGATAAAAAGATTTTACAAAATCCAATTTAAATTAAAAAAATATCTGATTTTTTTATTTAAAATAAAGCAACCCTTGATTTTTATCTACCCTGGCTATTAGCTAACTGAAGCCTCCTTTCTCCGTCCGGAAAAAGCTGTATGTCAATTGATGCCTCCCATGGGCGTGAGGTCTGTCATCGGTCGCTTGGCTGCACGTTATAGGCTTCGTTAATGTCTCGCTAGATCTTATCTTTTAGGCTGATATTAACCACCCTATTGTAACATCAGAACTGAGTCAATACGGAATGCTTGCCGTATTTAACTGTATTGCTTGAATTATTAAAAGGGACTAGTAGTTTTATTTTAAAATAAGATTTGTATTACCAGTCTGTATCTCAAGTGTGGCGCGGTGGCCTAGATGTGGAGCTCTCGCCTCACAATCAGGAGGCTGTGAGTTCAATCCTAGGTAGAGGCAGATATATTTATCTCCCTGGATGCAATGCGAATATATATCTGCTGAACAAAACTCCGCATTGGTGACAGGGAAGGGCATCCGGCCAGTAAAACACTGCTAGCTCCGT